CATGTCAACAGTAAAATGTGTTTCGTTTCTCGTGAAAACGAAACACATTTTACTGTGCCTTTTCCTGGAGTATTTCCAGAAAAAAAAAGTTGATTACTGAACAAATGTTTTAAAAATAAAGCTCAGAATGACATCTGAGTTTGCAATAAGTTGGATTCAGCTTAAATCCATCTTATTGCAACCTCAGACGTCGGAGCCATTGGGGGTCATTGTGCCCTCCCTGGACTGGTAGCTTCTCTTCTCTCTTTTTTATTTAACCTCAGAGTGGCCAGCTTTCCATTATGCCTATCTCTATTTGATACAGTAGGCGCTCTGGGACTTCCCGTATCTGTGCCTTCTGCCCCACACTTTCTTCAGTCGCCACAACAGTTTGATGTTCATATCATCCAGGTTTTCATCGTCTCCTGCACTAATTCTAACGTTCCAGTTTTTTGGCCGATGTGTGACATTTATCAGTCTTTATCTCCAACAGTCACTGAGTGAGAGGCGGAGGTCAGGTCACCAGTCCATCACTGGGAAACACGAGAACAAGAACCAAGTCCAGATCCCTGAGGTGTTTCTGACTAAATTAGAGAAACTAATTAACCAAACAGCCACGTTTCTGGATGGAGGGCGGGAAGAGCAGCACCTAAGGAACCACTGCAAGCAGCAGGGGTTTAGTTTTATAAAAACTAAAATAATGAAAACTGAAACTGAGAAAATATGTTTGTTTAGTGAAAGAAACAAAAAAGTAAATTTCTTTAGACTCAAGAACTGCAGGGGAGGATGTGAACTGTGTCTGAAGCAAAGAAAAAATCACACAGAAGGACTTTTGAACTTAGATGGTCCAGCAAAAGGAAGCAGCTTTATTATGCACAGATACCACAGAGGTGGCTGCAAATTTTAAAATCAATCTAAAAATACATTTCCCATTAATTAATGTGTTGTAATTAATGAGAAAAGACTATAACTAAATGAAGCTATACTGTGTGTTTATAAAACTAAGATTATATATTGTTTGTTTTTGAGTTCATGAATCTATTTGTTAGCATGATGTGAAATGTATTTATTTTCTTCTCACCCAACCAGGTGATGTAAACGGTCAGTAAATGACTCTGGTCCAAAAACGGCCACAGAAAAGCTTGGAGAAAACGTCTCAGTCTGATGGTTATTCAACTGTATACATTTTTTGAAAATGCTGTATTTATTGATGTATAATCACAATAAAATACTTTGACCTTTTTGAATTCTGCACACAAAAATTAACGAAAAAACTACTAATAAAAAAACTGACATATTATCAAACTAATAATAACTAAAATTAGCAAACACACCTTAAAAACTAATTAAATTAGACAAACAAACAAAAAGTCACAACAAAATAAAACTAAGCTATAATGAAAAACCCAAAGCTGTAACTGGGAGACATGCAGAAAGTGGGACTGAACCCAGAACCAGGTAACTGAAACCTGTGGAAAACAACGGCTTCATGTTTTGAACTGCAGGAGGATCCAGCTGAAGCTCATCAGGAGGTTAAAACTGGAACAAGATCTTCACCAGCATTTAAATCGTTCGTGTCTCAACGCCTCCTGACCGGCTCCAGCTTCTCCACTGTCAAACTGTTGTTCTGAATCCAAACAGGTTTTAGCAGGAAATGTGTCGTAATGCTACTAACACACATAACATGCAGCACAGCAGATGAACCATCCAGTGGCTTCATTCAGTAAAATCTGTTTTTTATTGTAGAAATTTAAAAGAACAACAAAATCCAAGTTCAGTGAAACTCTAAATGCAGCTATAAGGAAACATCTGCTGTTTCAACAAGCTGTGTGCAGAAGGCAGCGAACAGGAAGGTTCAGAGGTCAGATCAGATCAACGGCCTGCAGCAGAAACTGTTCATCTTCATCACAAAGCGTCAGTGGAACGTCTTCATCAGATGAAGGTGAAGAGATCTGAGCATCAGCGGCTCCTCTGAGCTTCACGGTTTAAATTTTATGGTTTCAGAGGAAGTCGTGACGTCAGCAGCTGGTTTCACTGAAGATGGTGGTAAATTTACATCTATAATTTACATTTATGGTTTTCCTAAACAACTTTTGCCATTTTTTGTAAATTTTTTATACAGAAGTAACAGAACAACCTCATTAAATTACAAAACATTTATTGGATGGCAGACCGTGACATTCTTCTGATACAGACTTTAAAGATCAAACCTGAAGTGATTTAAAATCAATTTAAAGGTAAATTAGGAAAACACCTGAGTTAACTCTTAATTTGGGAATGAAAAGATGAAATCAGAGTGATTATTGTTTTATCTTTATAACTGTGTGCAGCTGGACTGCAGCATGAAGCTCCTCACTGATGAATGAGGAGATTAAACATTATTTAATGTTTTAATCTTTACTTGACCTGAGCAGGTTTAAATAATACAAAACTAAAACAGAGGCAGGTTTAAACTGACAAGGTCACAAAACATGAAGGCCAACATGCAGCTTCTCTCCGTTCGGTTATCAAAGTGAGATTTCCTCTTAACACCACAGACATCAAACAGCTGATATGTTTTATCTCCTCCGGTGGTTTTTATCATAAAGCTGATCAGAACATTTAGCAGAACAAACTTCCTCCTTACAGCCAGAAGAAACTCTGAGATTAATGAAGCTTCATGTCATCAGAGTTACTCTGGATTGAAAATTAATTATATAATTAGGAAAAGAGTAAATTTTTAATAAAACTGAGGTGCAGGTTAATAATTTGTTTCTTCATAGTTTTGCAGCAAATATTTGATAACGAGAAGTAAAATGATCAGAACCAGGAGATTCTTGTTTTTGGTATTTTTACCTGTTCTGCGGACTTTTGGTGAGTAAAACATTTATTGCTGCTTTTATTTTATTATTATTCATATGTTAGCATCAGACTACAGCTGTTAAAGGGAACCAGGATTAGTTGAACATGTTGGTTTAAATATGTCATGAAATTCCTATTAAATCAAATATTGCTGTTTGTGATACACCAAAACTCATAATTACTTCAAAAATGTACATCTTTTGTTACATTTTTCACCTGTGGAAGTTGCCATGTTTTCACCAGATGATGACGCGTTTTGGTCTGTTACGTACCGGAGTCTATAGAATAAACACAGGAAGGCTAACTTCACCCAAGTTGTTGTTTATCATATTGCGTTTAACTGGAGAAATTTTAGACAATGTCACACTGAGTCACTAGTGGCTGCAATATATATATATATATATATATATATATATATATATATATATATATATATATATATATATATATATATATAAAGCAGTGAGGTGAATCTGGACAATCCCACACATAAAAAAGGGGGACGCATTGGAAGAGAGCCAGGGGTGAACACAACTTCCAAAGCACCTACGTTTATGCTCTCAACATTTCTCTCCAGAAGACTTTGAGTCATTTGCATGAGCAAAACTGATGAACAAGTGATCTAACAGTTGATCATTACCTTAACTAGCTAAAAACAAATGCTGTGGAGGCCAAGTTAATGCAGAAAGTATCCAGGTACTGTTAAAACTTATTTGTTTAATTAGAAATTTAATAAGTGAATTTGTTGAATTTTTAGGTAGAATTATATTGCATGTAACTAATTTCAGAATGTTTTATTGTGAATAAGTGTTATCAGGAGTATGTTTTATAGCTTAATTGGCCACGTGGCAATTTTATGCAAATGAGATGGGCCGTGTAAGAACGAGGTAGATAGAAAGGAAGGCGCTGCAAAAAGGAGCTACAGAGCCACACGGTTTTTTAACTGTAGTTTGTTTGTGGAGGTTAGCGAAGAACCAATTGCTCTTGTAAAAGAATTACTCAAAAACAGTGGAATAAATTTTTATCTCATATCTTTACATCGGAGCGCTGCGGAAGTTTTTTTTTTTTTCCTCTTCAAACACACGAGTAAATCAGCGAACTTAACTTTATGGCAATACAAATGCCTTGCTGACATTTTTATCCACAAAGCACCTAAACCCCACTGCCGCTAGAGTAAAACCGCTGGGAGGAACATCAAACTGACAGCCGGAAGCTCTTTTAAATGTGCTGCGGCTCCAGATGAAGACCCCACACAGTCCGACCAGACCTACGTGTCGTTCATCGTTTCATGTAGAAGCTGAAGGCAGCAGCAGTAAAACACCAGCTGCTCTTCCTCTGTTTGCTCCTCCTCATCTTCATCACCTCTGGTTATTTCTACGTTCTGATCCATTTCAACGCGCTGCTGTTCAGATTGAAAAGGCTCGATAACGTTACTCATCGCTGGAGGAGCCAGACAGTTGGAACTTTAGACGCCATTTACCCAGAATGCATTGCAGTGTGAACAACATGGCGACATTCATGTGACAATATTTTATTAAAATTAATAAAAACCAAACAGCCTAGAGTATTATTACTGTAGCATTTTACATCTAAAATAAATGCTTCTCAAATAAATATTGTTTCTGTGGATCCCTTTAAAATGAGGATGAAACAGGAAATAAAGCAAAAATATTAATAATGAAGAGATTTTCAGAGTAAACCATAATGAAAAGTTAGGAAAATTAAATTGTTATTTCTGGTCATATGTTTGATGGTAAAGAGGCAAAAAGCCTCCAAGGTCTGGATCTCATCACGAAATAAAAATAATCAAAATACCAGCAGGAGCAAACAGGAAGCTGCTCAATGGTGATAATAAGAGTTTAATTGATGGAAAGTCAATAAATATTTGTAATTAATCATTGGAAATGTAATGTGGTATTTTCACATGATATTATTTAACAAGAATGGAAACCAGGTTGTTTGAAAAATGATTCTCCTTCTACATCAGAGCAATTCCTTCGTTTTCCCATCAGAACCAGAACTTCTGGTTCAGTGAACATCATCTGGATCATGGAGATTATTTGCTCTTGTTTCCAGGCAGGTTTTTCTCTGATCCTTCAGAGGATCTGGGTTTCCTCCTCAGCACCAATCAACTCAACTTTCATCTGTTTTCATGTCTTATTGCAGATTCTGATACCAGCATGTCCTGTGTTCTGAACCAGGGCTGCATCTTACCATGTCGGTTTGAGACCAATATAATCTACATAGAATGGCAACATGAATGTTCTGTGATCGTCAGCTATAATCAGGGTAACATCAGCTACTCTGAGAGCTTCAGATCCAGAGCGTCTCTGTCTGAGGATCAGATCTCCAGAGGAAACGGCGATCTGCTGCTGAAAGGAGTGAAGGTTGATGATGAGGGAGGATATTGGTGCTATGCAAATATAAATAGCATCTGTAACACACATTTTGTTGACCTTACAGTAGAAGGTAGGACACATTCATTTGAGAACATTTCTTTCAAATGATAAGATTTTGAGAGTTGCACTTTTATTTTGGGATTCCCAGATACTTTTTTCTGTAAAGTTGCTTTTCATTATTTTCTTACTGTTTCCAGCTCCAGTCTCTGACATCAGGATCCATCAGGATGGAAACAGGATCACCTGCAGCTCAGAGGGGATCTACCCTCAACCTGAACTCACCTGGTCCACTGAGCCTCCATCCAACACGACTCTGAATGAAACAACCAGGATCCAGAAAACTGAAGATCAGCTTTACAACATCAGCAGCTCTCTGACGGGTCCAGATGGTCCAGATCTGATCTACAGCTGCAGCATCAGAACCAGGAGCAACCAGAGGAGAGCAACTTTAGACATTCAAGGTCCAGAAAGTTCTGATACTTAGTTTGACTTTTACTTTAAACCTCATCATAAAACATGCAGATTATTGCAATATTTACTAAAGCTGCTTTATGAAATAATACTTTAATATCTTTCCATATAATTTACTGATGAAAACATTTTAAATTGTTGCTGATTTATATAAATTTGTAGAAATATTTGTAGTTAATTCCTCTGCAGATGTTTTTATTGTTGTTGTTCATGCAGCACTTTATTTATTAAAGATTTCTCTGCTGATTTCTGTCTAAATGTTGCTAAAGCTTCAATCTTTCTCATTAAAGTCTAGAAACCATGAACTCCTTTTTATTTTCCATTTCAGCCTCTGTGGGTTTCTCAGGGTCTCAGGTTACAATCTGCTGCTCTTCCTTCAACATTTCTGCCTCCAGTTTGGTCTGGAGGTTCAACCACAGTCAGATCATCCTGACCAAGACTGACAGAAACATCTACAACATCTCAGAGGAGTGGAGGAAACATGTGAGGGACGTTTCAGCGTCCGGCAGCCTCACCTTACAGGATCTGACCTCAGATCAGGAGGGAGTTTACAGCTGTGAGCTCAGTGATGATGAGGAGACCATTATAACTCGGCTCTATCTGAGGAGGACTGGAGGTAACAGGATTCAGGATTTAAGCTTCATTAGATGGTAAAAATCTGATGTTCTGAACTACAAATGAGTCTCTGAGCTAAACTCCTGAACTTCTTTGGTTTCAGAGAATCTGGTGGTTTCTGAACTCATCAGACGGACGGTGGTTTGTGTTGTGATTGCAGCAGCAGCAGCTGGATTCATGATGAGCTACAAGAAGAAAATGGAGGAAAGTGAAGCTCTGCAGCTTTAAACCTTTCATTCATTCAGAGACTGGTTTGGTTTTAATTCTCCCATTTTACCGTCGACAGGATTCATGAGCTTTGATGTAGTTTCACTAAATGATCAGATCTTCATGTTCTTCAGGTGATTCTCAGATTTGGAGATATTTCAGTTATGTTTCATCTTCTGCCCAGCAGGGGGCGCAGCTAAAAATATTCTTTATATTCTACCAGATAAACTTTCTCAGAACTTTATCAATAAAATGTTTATTTCTCTATAAATGAATTTTATTACATAAATAGCTTATTTATGAACATTGATATATGTTTACAATATAACTGGCTCTTCATTTTCTTTACTTGTTTCTCATATTTGTAGGTATTTCTGGGGATTGTTTTTCTTAAATTTGAAGATTTTACTCTGGTTTTAAATTCTGCCCAACAACTAAACATATACCTTACATTCTATCAGCTTGACTTTTCCAGAGCTTTATGGATACACTGTTTATTTCTGTAAAAAAAAATCATAGTTTTTTGTTAAGTACATTTATTAGTCTTTCAATAAACCAACAAAATGAAAATATCACAGATTTTTATTTCTCAGTATTTCCTACCATGTAGCATAGATAGCTTAGCTTCTGTTTTCAGGTTAACAAATGACTGTAACTTCCTTCATCACTAATCTTCAGTCCATCTTTACTCCATCAGACGGATCCCACAGACGGTCAGAACCAGGCAGAACTTCATGTCAGATTTTATCTGCTGCTGAAAACAGGAATCAATAAAATGTCAGGAAACAGAAACTCTTTATTTCTTCTTCTACCCAGAAAGTTTTACATTTACATCAACCAAATGAAGCTAAAAGCTCCTTTTAATCTGATAACTCTGTGGGTTCGGACAGCGATCCATTATCAGTAGAACCAGCGTCCTTAGAGGCGTCCAAACTCCTCTGATCTGAGTCTGTAAAACTTTGAGGTTTCAGGAGGAAGTCAGAGCTGCAGCTGGTTAACATTTCCTCTAAAACAGGAGAAAACATGCAGATACATGTGTAGCAACTGCAGAAATGTGTACATTTATGTGATCAATAAAGATTTATCCACCACGTATTCAGAAACATCTGAATAATCTTTAATGCACCAAATTGTTTTCCAGCTGCCAACAAACACCAGTCAGAGGAGTAAAAATGGAGAACAAACAGCTTCCATGTTTCTGTCTGGAGGACAAAGTGGCTGTGATGATATTTTTCAATTTGTCTGTTAAAGTGTCTTTGTGTGGATTAGGCTCAGGCGGTGCTCATTTATTAGATCTACTGATGTTTTTTAACATGTTAGATTATAAAATACAAACCAGTTTTAAAATTACCTTAGATAAAATTGCAGTCTTGCTAAAATAATTAAAACATTTTTTGTTCAGAAAATCAAATAAATATTAAAAGCTGACTATCCTGAGAAAAAGAATGAGCTATAAACACAACATGCTTCTGGATATTTCACATATTCCTCTAATAACTATGAGCTGCGTTTTGTTGATTCAGGAACTTTGCTTTGTGTTTCTGCCCGTAAATCTGACGCACAAGCTGCCTCTGCTAACAGCGATGGAGGACAAAGGCTCTTCTCTCGGTCCACTGGGGTTAATTTCTGCTCCTGAAATGATCTGATTGGACGCTGGAAAAAACTATTATTATGTTCAAGTTGTGCTAAAAGGAGTTAGCCTATCAGTAAAGCTGTTCAAGACTAAAGTAGCATCTCAAAGCTAAAACTGTAGCAGCTAATGTGAGATTCATCCGTGCTGCAGTGAATCCGTCTCTCTTTATAGATATCTCCGTCTTCTTCCTCACATCGTGTCTTTAGGAAACTTTCAAAACAAAAACGGAAGATTTGGGATGTATCTTACTTTTGACAGAGCGAAAGAATATAAATAATAGTCTTTACCACCTGTGTAAACTTTGCTGGTGAATGTTATAACACATAAGTTTTATAATATGTGTTATATTGTTTCATTTCTAATACAGGCTCTTGTGTCAGATAATCTAAGTCAATGTTAGAGAATAATTAATTTTTTAGATGTACAGAATCTCAGTTAGCCTTCATAGCGGGGCTGAACCCGTATTACACCAAGCACTGTAGCTAATATTAGCTGTTATCTCGCCGGTGGACATAAATACATAAAGTAATATTCTAATCACAATATATACACAATAATATGTCCATCTTACTTGTGAAATGTTGTCTGTGGAGCCCTCACATCAATAATCCATAGATCCGAACAACAATATCCCTCAGTGCTGAGGCATCTTCTGCTGTTTTGATTGAGCAAAGTAGGAGGGTATACCGCTCCAAGATGGCCGCCGTATTTCCTGCGCCGGAGCGGCCCATGAGGCGTCTATGCTTATATTATGTCTATGGTTGCCGCTACCTCATACTGGCACCTCCCACACCTCATGGACCGGCCATCTTAGAGCGGTCGACCGCTCCACTCAGCGTTATACGTTGGACAGGCACAATGACGTATTTGAGCATTTAATCTTTCATAACACGCTGTTTCGTTACTGGAAACCTTATACAAACAGCTACATTTATAAACAATTGTATTTTTAAAGTATTTTTTAATTGTATTATACATAGTTAAGCATATTTAAATATGCTTTGTGGGGAAAACAATAGAATATGAATATAATATTCTTTTGTGACAACTTCTGTGTCAGATTTAATATGAATGAATTTATAATTCAAGAAAACACCAGTGGATCTGGCACAAAGTATTTCATTTCCTCTTAAGCGTTGTGTTCTTTCAAAAAAGCAAATATGCCCTGGTCTATACAGTCTCAAATTTCAGTTTCCAATAAAGAGCCTCAGTGAAAACATGTTGACAGCTGCTGTAAGGTGCCACTTAATTCCATTTGTTTGAACTAAAGTTATTCATTCATATGAATAACTTTACAAATAGAAATAAAATATATCTTAATTAAAACATAATTCTCATACATATTTAAATATACAGCCGGTGTTCAGACTTAACAGAGAAAGACAACTCCTGCACTGAATCCATGTCAGATGGGACCTCTTCTGCAACAGCTGATAATAGCTACCACTAGGTACCTACCACTACAACTGACACTCGGTTGCCATGGTATGTCAGTGCTGACAAGCTCCTGTCAGTTCCGGATTATAATTATTTTCATACAATGACCTTAATATAATGCTATTGATTATTAAACCGGGTAAGTTCACTAATATTGACTTATTAGTTAATATTAGTGACAGTGGCAACATGAGATATTGACAATTCCAGAGTGACATTATGTTCAGCATGGTTCCATGACAGTGCACAGGATGTCATAAGTTATAGTGGCTGCCTGGTCTATTACTTAATAGACCAGGCAGCCACTATAACTTTCAAACTTTTTAAGATAATGCAAAGTTTTTGGAAAACAAGTTATCATAATTTACATAATTTACAATATTTACTGAAATAATCTGCCTGCTGAAAACTCCTCCTCATCATCTCTAACTAATCTAAACTTTTTCTTCCTCCTCTGGTGGTTTTATCATAAATCTGATCAGAACATTTAGCAGAACAAACTTCCTCCTTTCAACCAGAAGAAACTCTGAGATAAATGAAGCTTCATGTCATCAGAGTTACTCTGGATTAAAGACATTTTATAGGAATAATTTAAATTCTTAATAAAACTGATCTATTTATAGTTCAGCGTTTTTAAAAAATGTTCATTGTTTTGCAGTAAATAGGTGATAATTAGGAGTAAAATGATCAGAACCACAATCTCCTTGTTTTTAGTACTTTTACCTTTTGTGTGGACTGGTACTATACAGAGTGAGTAAAACGTTTATTTCCATCTTTATTTTATCATTATTGTTATTCAGATGTTAACAGTAATAACCCTGTGATCTCTGGTCTCATATTTTAGTGATAATTAACTCACCAAAATGTCTCATTCTAAGGTAAAATAAAATCATGAAATTAAAATATTATTGTTCATCAGAAGATTTAGAAAAATTAGAAAACCACAAAATCTAAAACATATGTTTGAAAAAACATATTTTTCATATTTTTTTTTCTTTTGTCATATTCAGGAAATGTGACTTTTTTAATTTGGTGATTTCACAGATAAATTCAAATTACTGATAGAAGATTGAGGTGAAAACTAATTTTATTTTAGCAAATGAGTCTTTTCTATCACATTATAAATAAGTATTATTATTAAACAAAATATAAATAAACCTGATATATTTTTAAAATGATTTTCTTTCAGAGCGATTCCTTCCTGTTTTCCCAT